TCTGCAGGTGTAAGAGACTCTGCAGGTGTAAGAGATGCTGCAGGTGTTAGAGACTCTGCAGGTGTAAGAGACGTTGCAGGTGTAAGAGACTCTGCAGGTGTGTAAGAGACGCTGCAGGTGTAAGAGACGCTGCAGGTGTAAGAGACGCTGTGTGTTAAAGTGCATTAAAGTTAAAATGTATTTAAAACCCACAGCTGAATTTACACAAACTTTGTGAGAAACATGCTTTAAATGTGTGGAATTAAAGTAAGAAAATCTAGGTGAAATGTTGCTTTTTTGTTCACTAGTGTACACTTTTTTGCACTTGTGTGTGTGCGCATACGCACACACACACTGTCCCCCCACATTACAGATGCTTCTGACATCCTTGCCTCTTTGTGATTTCTCATCCTGATATATCCATTGGTTCTTGTTTCTATAACTAATCTCTAAACAAGTCTGAGCAATGGGAGGATGATGGTTTCTTACACTTTAGGTATGCTCGGAGTTTTAAAAACATAGCAACTTTGAACCTCATAGGGTTTGTCATGATTGAGAATTTACACAAACACAGTTAGATGGTGGGGAAAAAATGCTGAAAGTTATGTCATTGTTCCCCAGAAAATAAAACAGAACCATTAGCACATTTGGACATATAATCCGTTGAAACGTGTATAAATGCACTTGACTTTGAACAGATGACCTTATTTTAGTTTCCTTTTCATGAATTAAGGTCATTTTTTAAAGTAAATTTAAAGTTAGTTTAAGTTAATGAACCATTTTCTTTTATTTAATGCTTGAAGTTAATCATTACTGCTTTTAAAATTTTGCCACGTCTTGCTTTGCTAACCTCTGGTGTCAACCCATTTCCTGCAGGACCTTGAAATGCGCCCCTGTGGTCAGAGGCGGAAATTGCTGTTTGTTTGGTTAGTCGAGTCTGACGACAGTGACAGTCTCCCTTCTGTTTCTTTGACTAACACACACACTTGAACACACACGTGTCCACATTTTCCACTCTCTCTTGTTGTCGTTGACTCTGTGTCTTATAGTGTGATTGGTATCAGAGCCAGCAACATCTTGCAGTGAACAGTGTAATCAGTGTGGGCGATCATGTTGTTGCCGTATATGTGTGCCAAGTGCTTGTATATCTGTTTGTTAGCTAAATATCTCATGAACCACTTCACAGGTTTTATTGAAACTTCTGAAAATGATCATTGGGTGAGTATCCACAACTGACTCACTTCTGGAGCCAAGCTCATTGAAGGTGGCTGCTACAGCCAACTGACCAAAACAAAAATTCAACCATTTCTGCAGATGCTGAGCAAAGATTTGGTCTGGTTGTAGCCAAGAATCATCCTTCAGAACAACTGTTTCATGTTTGTTTTTTTACTTTTGAGAAAGTTGTTACACATCTTTTTTCTCTCTCTCTCTCTATAAGACGTTTATACCCAATTTTGTCTGCCTGTAATAATAAAAATGCCACTTTTGTCAGCCTCACATATAAACACAGTTCTGAAGTCAGCCAACAGTCAAACTTCCCTAAAAGCAGCAAATCTTTGCCACGCTGCTGCACTATTATTACACTTAAAACTCAGCCTGCTCAGCATGGAAAAAACTGCCAACACCTATAATTAGCACCATGACAGAACATATACTTTAAAATTCAGTGATTTGTCACCATCTTGACAAAAATGTGATGTAATGAACTTTTTGGGAATGTGGTTGCCTTAAAATTGGAGCGTATTATCCTTGTTATTTAAGGTATTTATGGCCTAGTAATCAGTGTGGGTACTTTTGCTTCTGCAGATTTTACCCTGACTACACAGACCATGCCAAATTTGTGCCGCACCTACAATTCAATTTGCACTCACATGCTGCACGTAGTCAGTGCTGGGGCTGCAAGTCAGCATGTAATTATGTAATCAGTGAGCAGGACTGACTTCAAGGCTCATACTACTGATGCAGCGGTTCAGTGCAGGGATCTGTTTTGGGTTTTAAAAAAACTCAATAAAAGAAACTAGAAAATGCAGAACTAGAAAAAAAAACTTTTAAATGAGCAAATTTTCCAAAGACTGCCATCATTTTCAGATCAACACAGTATTTTCTAAGGCCCTGTTTACACAAGAACAATCCCTGAAAATTTGTTTTTTTATGTTTATTCAAGGTAATAAACAAAAATGAGCAGGTTTACATGAAAGCACTGTGGTTTTCATGTGTAGGGTTGCCAGATAAGAAATTGTGAACTATTGTTCTGTCACTTAAAAATTATAGTATTTCGACCCAAATTGTCATATGTGCTGAGTAAGGGTAAGAATGAGGTGTGTGTTGTTTTTGGTGAACATGGAGTGCAGAAATGGATGGGGTAAAAAACATTTTAATTTATCTGACAACCATGGGCTCTTCTGCAAGCATGGCACATGTAATGTCTGCAAGATCACAGTTATGGCGCTTTGCCACAGTCTCAACGCTCATCAGTTCCGCACCACAACGCACCAGTTGAGGGCTTGCCCACTGCCATTACCCACCCCCACTCAGCCCGGTTAATGGGACCACGTTGTTTGAGGTTCCAAGTGGACTGCACCAAGGTGCTGATTTTGACAATTAGTCAAAGAGTTCCTCAGGGTTCAGTGCTTGGAACAATACTCTTTACAATATGTATGCTTCCATTAGGTAATGTTATTAAACTATCACAATCCTCAGTGTTTAGACCCATATGCAGGCAGGCGAGCGAGGCATGAGTTTAAAATAAAAATAATTTATGTTTAAACCACAAAAACAAAACGGCTGACAGGGCAGCAAAACTACAGGCAGGATCCAGGCAGACAAGAACAGGACAGATTCAAACTCAGACAGATACCTGGCACAAGGAACAGACGAGGACCATGTTGTCTGTGCAGAACAGAACAATGACCGGACGAGGAGTGGAGGAGAGAAAGGCTTTTTATAAGACAGAGGGAGAGTGAGTAATGAGAGCACCTGGGCAGGTTGCTGATGAGAGACAGGTGTGAATGATAAAGACTGAGGACTGGAGAGGCAGACTGAGGAGTGAGTGGAAAACAACAACAGAATCAGATATATAGGAACAGAAATCACACAAAGAGCAGAACAAAAAAAGTACAAAGAGCAGAGCGGGGAACACAAACAGACAGGGACAGAGCCTGTCATAAACAGCATGGGATACATTTTCATTGTTATGCTGATGATGT